GACATCTTCAAGTTGCCAAGGTTGAGAAACGCTGATCTAGAAGGTGGGTAGCCCTTGGTGTGGACGGGAGGAGAAGGCCCTGCCTCTCTTAGGTCTGCCTTGATTTGGAAGTGGACTGTAAGCGCTGACGTTAAAGTACAGCCTACTTTCCTGGAGCTCCCAGCCACAATGCCATCCTCTTAATTGGATGTGATGCTTCAAATTCTCTGCCAGAAGAAAGTCTCATCTTTTTTCGCTGCTGGAGGAGCCGAAGTCCTTGTCCCTGTCCTCTATTGCGCAACTCTGTTGATTGCTGGAAGAGGACAGGGGCACTAAGGAGTTCTGGAAAGGCCAACATTCACCCATGGTAGTTAATGGCAGGGGACGGGTCCAAAGAATTGCTCTTTCTTGTGGCTTCATCAGGGTGATTCTGACCCACAGACTTCTTTCCAAACCATGCCGGTTCTTGCAGCTCAGAAAAGTGACCTCTTTTTTTGGCATTTTTTAGGCATAACCAACTATGAAGAGTATTCCTTAATCCAAGAAGGCAGTGAGGAGAAGAAGGAAGAGGGCACGGGGACCCTGAAGAAGGATAGGACGCTGCTACGGGATGAAAAAAAGATGGAGAAATTAAAAGCCAAGCTGCACACGGATGACGACTGTGAGTGGCTCCCTCGGATATCGAGTCTTTCCCAGGGACGAAGAAGTCGTTTGTGATAGAACGGGAGGGATTTCGTAGTCGCACTGCTTAAGCAGGAACACCTTAGATTAGTACATAATCTAAGGTGAAGGCAGATATCTTGAAATGTCCACGCTCTAAATCAAAATATATATTTTGAAATATATATATATTTTTAAATCTTGCTCTGCATTTTTCTCCTTCCTAACTTGGTGCTGCCCAGTTCCCATAGTGATTCGTAGCCAAGCCCGTAGGACAGGTCTTCAAACTGGGCAACTTTAAGACTATGCTGGTTGGAGAATTCTGGGAGTTGGAAGTCCACAAGTCTTAAAGTTGCCAAGTTTGGGGGGCCCTGCCATAGGGAATCATGGGAGCTGCAGTGATCTGAAGGAGGCTAAGCTGGAGAACAGCTGTGAAATGATCTGCCTCCTTCCTCTCTTTCCACCCCTAGTGAACTGGTTGGATCACAGCCGAACGTTTCGGGAACAAGGGGTGGACGAGAACGAGACGCTACTCCTGAGACGGAAGTTCTTCTACTCTGACCAGAACGTGGACTCCAGAGACCCCGTCCAGCTCAACCTGCTCTATGTTCAGGTGTGCCGGGGGGGACAGGACAGGTGACCCTCTTGCTAAGGTCTGGTCAAAGGAAGTTTGACCCTCCTTGATTCAGCAAGCCACACATCTGCACATCATGTTCAACCATGACCTTTGGGCGTGAAGCCATGGACAGTGGGTCCAACCCCCCCAAAAAAACTAGGTTCTTGCAGAGTTAGACTAACTAGTTCAGAGGTCTTCAAGCTTGGCAACTTTAAGACTTGTGGACTTCAGCTCCCAGAATTCTCCAGCCAGCATAATTTACTCTCATGTAATCCCTTCCTCTGCAAACTCTCCACTTAGAGGTCTTCAAACTTGGCAACTTTAAGACTTGTGGACTTCAACTCCCAGAATTCTCCAGCCAGCTATGCTGGGAGTTGAAGTCCACAAGTGTTAAAGTTGCCAAGTTTGAAGACCTCTAAGTGGAGAGTTTGCAGAGGAAGGGATTACATGAGAGTAAATTATGCTGGCTGGAGAATTCTGGGAGCTGAAGTCCACAAGTCTTAAAGTTGCCAAGTTTGAAGACCTCTAAGTGGAGAGTTTGCAGAGGAAGGGATTACATGAGAGTAAATTATGCTGGCTGGAGAATTCTGGGAGCTGAAGTCCACAAGTCTTAAAGTTGCCAAGCTTGAA